TACTTCCATTTTTGGATCGGTCAGCTGATCATTGACATATAACCCCGGCGACAAAACTTTTCAGCACCCCCACGTATTCCACATGTGGAGCAGAATTCGTAGAGAATAACAATAGTAAAAGAGATCATCAACAACCATATAATAATTATCTTTATGCTTGGTAAATCCCTTTATTAGTTTGTTGCGATATGTAAGCCATTTAGCATATCGTCTGAACTGATTAACATAATTGTTGTATTTGTGTGTTGGAAGTGAGTATAATCTAGCAAACTCACACACTAGTGTTGGTGTACATTCTCCGCTACTTACAAGGACTTCCAGTATTATTTTGTTATGATTATAGCAAATAGTGTAATAGACATTGTCCAATTGAGTTGGAGTTATGGTGATTTCCTTGTAAAGAAACCATTTAAGTCTTAAGCCATGTTCACTTTCCAAGGAGGATTGGACCAAGCTGTCAATTGCTGCTGGAGCTAATGACATCGTTTGAATAAGAAGACAATCACATTTCTCAGCGTTTATGTTATATGTGTCACATCACACTTACCACGTGCTTCATAATCGTATCGTATACACGATTCAAAATCATCTATGAGTGGTTTGTTTCATTTGAATTAATTCTTTTGAGTTGCAGAGACTCTCTTTACTATAATATGGAACGATCTACTTTAAATTATCGTGTGAGGTAACATATCGATGTGTAGCACATAAACTGCTTGGACTGAACTATTGGTTATATTTAGGCTATATAAAACGCGATTTATTTTTATGTCTACTAGTTAAGTAACTGAATTTGTAATCCAGAACTAGAACATTTAAATTGTCGAAAAAGGGAAAGCTTACAACTCAAAGTCATAAGCTAAGCAATTTTTTAAGACTGATAAGCTAACAAAGTTTTATGACAAAAGTCTAACGATGCATTAAATTCATTTCATCGGTAACTCGATTTTTGAGCATAAAGCTTTCAAGCTGAGTTTTCAGCTCCGGACAGAGGTTGCTTCTATAACTAATTTCTAACTAATATCAAGAATTAGAGATTTGAAATATTCATCATTTGTGTTTTACGTGACTCGAACGTATTAGTATGTATATTTAAGATGCTCAAATACTCATCTATTATTGTTTGCTGACTTTAAGTTAATGTAATTCTTAACAACTCCTTAGAGTCCTGTTACTGCTGAGTGATCTCTAAGCCGTTTGATCATAACGATTGGAATAAAGATGACAGATTCAAAAATGGTAATTTACACTCTACAATAATCAGGATAATTCACTCGGCCTGATAGAAATTGATATCTTCGCTGAATTTCTTTTATTAATTGACGTAAAACATCGCGTTGCCTTTTGGTACATTCGTAGATATTCAATAACGTCACAGTAAAAAATCACGGGGGAGAGGGAATCATATGGATGAGACGTAAATTTTTTTGTTTTTTACTACAACATCATGATCAACTGATACACTTTTTCCTTTCTTGGCTTCATTACTTCACAAATGTTTGCTTTATCGACATTCAGACGCCATTACCTCTTGTATCCTCACGTTCCTCGCGCAATCTCTCTCTCACCCGCTGTCTATCAATTTGTTCACATACTTGTGGAAAACTCGGGTTGGATCACGTGTTGTTCTCAATGGGTGGATTCAAGCTGTCAGGTACGAGAAATGCTTAATGTCTATTCGTTCGATCTAACCTCTACCAACATTTGTCATGTGTACTGATACAGGAAACTATCTCCAGCACTCGTATTTGTTCCGATTCGTGATTCATATGGTACCGCTCAATTAATCTACAGGAAAGGGACGAACGGCTCGTCTATTGAACTGAAGAAAATTATTTTACATTATCGAATGAGAGCGTGGTCTGTGTTGAGGACATGGTTATTGCCAGATCCGATGACATGATTGATAAGGTAAATTCAATAAAGTAATCGAACGCAACGTGAAAGCACATTAAACTTGCGTCTAGCAAACATCGACAGGAGAGATTGAAGTTGAGATGGAGAAATTATATGTATTAAACAAAGCCAAGAACTTGCCGTTTTACCCATCAGGAAAAAAAATTGGTTCGTATTTGACACTGGTCATTTAATAACAGAATCGTTTATTGTCATATTTGGATACTCAATGCTGTTGTTATTGCCTAAGAGGATATTCGTCTACGGAATAGACACATTGATCTTTGGCAGCATTTCCTACAACAGAACCTACGAAAAAGATCACTTGCTGGATGGGTCATTCGAGATTTTTTAATTCAAAAGGGTCAGACTCGCATTTCATATGAACGTTGATGTTTTATAAAAATTCTCGTTCGATATTAAAATTTAGGCTTTACGGAGGTTGAGACACCATTTCAAGCATACATCAGAAGGCGCTCGAGAGTTCATTGTACCCACACAGAATTGGGATGTTTTATGCCCTAACACAAAGTTCTCAACAGGTAGCCTAAGAACAACAGAGCCATCCTAACAAAAGTCATGTTCAACTTTAATCATACGTCCTTTTCAGTACAAACAACTTCTAATGGCATCTGGAATAGATAAGTACTTCCAGATAGCCAAGTGTTTCCGAGATGAAGGTTTACTTGCTGACAGACAGCCCGAATTTACCCAAGTAAGAGCGAAGAAGAAACTCCACATTTTTTGACGTCTTGGTGATACTAATCATGTGTTATTAGATAGATCTAGAACTCTCATTTGCCTCGGCGAACGATATCAGAAAACTGGTCGAAGAATTGATTGCCAGAATTTGGAAACAACTTCTTCATGTTGATATGGATATATCAAGGATTCAAGGCAATTTCATACAAAGATTCCATGACACGGGTAATAACGACATGAAAATGAATATCGAAAAATCCTGGCATTCCTGCAATGACGTGTTTTTTTCCTTACCGATCAACCTTGTAATTCTTTTTTCAGTATGGCACCGATAAACCAGGTACAAGATACGGAATGAAGGTTGCATTGGCATCCCCATCTGCCTTATACAGTGTACCTTTGGGGTTTAACCACATTTTACTTAGATCTCGGATATCACATCCTACTTCTCAGACGCTCCATGGAACTCTTCTAATACTATTGAATACCTTGTAACAAAAACGTGGTAGTTCTCTCACCGGGAGTGTAATTAAATCGCTTCAGGCCGTTGCTAAATCCCAATCTGATGAGCAAGAATGAGAATAATAAGGTCAGTTATCAAGGAATAATAAACCATTCTATATATTTGAGCTTTTTTCGGTTTCTTTTTTGAACTCATTTATGTTGTTAGTAGTACTTGGATTCATCAAGGTTAATCCATATATCTTCGAGTCATGGATGGCGAAAACATACGTTGGCAAGAAAATATCAAACGCCGAAGAGATCGCGGGAAGAATGTTATGCGATGAGGATATTGAAGTTGGAGATCTAATTGTCTTGGGGATGAGGCAAACCTTTTCAATCGAAGAATAAATTACTGGAAAATTTAACATTCGAATTAATAGGGAGAATGGGCGTGTACGTTCACACGCAAGCTCTCTTGCAAAAGAAAGGTACGATCAGTACAAATATTGACTGTCCACATGAAAAGTTGGATAACCTTGCAACTGAGTGTTATAATTACCAATTAGGTCTCTTGTCGATACCTCAATCTCAATCTCAATATGACTTCCTCTGGGGTTGACTCGTTCCCCCTCTTTACCCGCGAGAAAGAGTCCAACACTCTCAGTTCGACCCATCATCCGTTCACAGCT